TATATAATTGAGTTTGTAAAATACTACACTCTGCTGCAAACAACTGTAATAGTAGTGTAGTTTAACTATCCTTTTTTCTTTTCCCCGTTACTTGTTCCAAACAACTTACTGCATATGTGTGATTGTTTCATTTTTACACTCTATTGCAAGTGTTAGGTTTGAATCTATAAATTTCCAGAGTTTTGCTGCTGAAACTGAGATTTTTAGTTCACTCAAAATCGTTTATATTAATCATATGTTATAAGTGAAATGCTGTTAGTTATCAAAATATTGTCATGATTTCATTTACCTGAATATGTGTGAAAATCATGCATACTTCTAATGAATGAATGGGTTTCACCAAAAACATGTTCCATATACAATTATGGATGTATACTTTGTGTAGACAGACAAAATAGACTCAAATTCAACAACATTTTTCATTGAGGAAAATCAAGTTGAACAACTCAAAGCTTCTAAGTCAGTCTTTTGTTTTCAGACACAGTTTAAGAATATAGATTAGAACGAGTTCTTTTTCTTAATCACTCCATCTAACCAGTAAACCAGATTAGCAGATTATTTGAAGATTCCAAATTTTCAAAATTTTGCCACTTTCTTTGCTGCATCGTCTCAAGAAAAATTACGAAGAGGGAATTGTGGCTTTTCTAGATGATCATCACATCGCACTTTCTCTGTCCCGCAATACCTATGTGATTTAAACTTTTTTTTAAAAAAAAAAACAAAATCACTAGAAAAATTTTAAACTAGACAATATTTTTAGTTTTGACTTCTAATTATTACTAACGACCCATTCTTGACCATATTATGATTCTTATGTGAGCTAAAAAGTTTTTAAAACTTCTCGTCAAATAAATAATTTGTGACAGCAAATTATGTAAAAGAGTAATCAAATCGTGGCTGTGACATAACTAATATTTATCTTTTCTAAAAAGATAGCTTTGGTTTTGCTCTATTTCGGTGATTGAATAATGCAAATAAGCATGGCAATTACTTTAAAATAGAGCGAGTACTTTCATTGTTCCAAAAATATGTTAATGAATTATACTATTTAAATTCAACAACATGACTCTTACTGTTTTAATATAGAGAATAATTTTTTTTTTTTTTGAAAAAAAAAAAGGATTCTGAATCGTACGTGCATATGGTCATCGCAAATTAATGTAAGTTGCTATGTTAGGTTGGGAAAAGTAACTTGGTTATGCTTGGTTCCACCGATGTTAGTCCCTGACAATCTAAATAAATTTCGTCAATCAAATAAGTACTATTTCCGGTAATTCTATATATATACACAACTGGAGGTGTATGAAAACGGCCTCTCAATTAGTTGGATAGAACAAAACATGCAAGATCTCGGAGATAATTATTTATAATCATGTTTTATATATATACACACTTGGATGATTTCATGGATTTAATAAGCTTTTGGCTGTTATGTCTTCTTTTATCAATGCAACTTACATTTTCAAAAGAATAAATTAACTGAATTTTGTGTTAATTTGTTTATTGAACTTAAATCTTGTAGTTATATAACAAGTATAGAAGAAATTAAGTTGGGAAAAGATTATGTACACATTACAGAAGTACAAACAAGAAAACTCTTCACCTAAATCCTAACAACTTAATCAAAAACCACACGTGCACTACATTGATTCTTTGAAGTTGTGTTCTAGGATTAGTAGTACTACTTGACAGAAACTACGGGAGAAATAAATTTCGTTATTTCCTCGGTCTAAAAAAAAAAAAAAAAACCAATTACTTTTTTATTTACGGTCAAGAATCTTATCGAAAATGGATAAACTTACGTCCACTGTAGTAGAAAGTTAAGCAAGTAGAAGGTTAATTGCCAAACCTGGAGTGATAAGGTCGGATGTGAATCGATGTGATTCATGTACATATTTGCCGTAACAATTAAACTCTATAGAGATGTGGATAAACAGAGGTAGAGCCAATCCACATTCATGCATGTTGGACTGAGAAATTAAACTCAAAACCTATTCTAAAGGGCAAGGATAATTTTACCAATGAATCAATATTTCATTCACAATAAATATTTTTGGATGGAGAAAATATTAATTTGTCCTCTCATTAAAAAAAAAATTTGTATTGGAGTTTTTTTTCCTTCTCTCTCGATAAGAAATCGCACGTACGAAAGTGAAATGTAATGCGATTAATTATCATATCAGCCAGGTTTTGTTTAATTTTTAAATTTGTGAATGGAATGAAATGTATTTTATTATACTTTTATAGCACTCGCCATTCCAGGATAAAAAACAAAAAGCCATGCTTTTCTCTTTAGGAAGGGAGTAGCATTTACTTATACTGGGAAAATTCTTAATTAGATATATACTTTTAAAACTGATCGGATCAATTTTCGTAGTGTTACTTGTGTAACCTGCCTTGTTAATGCTAGCTGGTTTATAATGAAATGTCTTTCCTCCTGGTTGTTAGGATTATGTACGGAATTCTCTTTTCCTTTCGGGTAGGTTTTGGCCTAATATTCCCCCACTCCATCTAAAATTTATCAAAACGAAAACGATGAAAAACAAGAAAAATGATTCGTACAAACAGTAACTCATTCTTTAGGGTATGCCAGAATGATTTCATTAATAAATTTTCTACCAAATTATCGGCTCAATTAATTAATTAGCACTACTCAATCATTAAAAAAAAAGAAAAAAAATGCTAAATACACTTTTTTTTCACCCTATAGTGGGATAGTTTCACATTTCATTTTTTTTTATTCATTCTCAAGTTGTAGCTCCTTTGATTTATGACAGTAATTCGTAAAAGCAAGAACAGCTAATATTGAATTTGTAGTCCATAAACATCTAGTTATGTTGAGCCACAATAAAGTAGTGGATCTGGAATGAAAATCTAAAATATATGGTCTAAAAAATATTTATACCACTTACCTTATCAGTGCACACCATGAGTTTTCATAATTTGATACTATATACAGTCATGTCTATATTAAATTTTAGTACATTATAAATTTTGTCATGGCATCATACCAAGTCTGTTCAAGAATTTCACATTCAATAACATATATGACTTTTCACTATTTTAGTTTAAAAAAAAATTATATTGCTATAACCCTGCCAGAATTTTTTTAAAAATAAATTCACAACTCTTTTTTGCACATATATTTGAAGATCATTAGGTATGATATAAGAAATGAAGTGCTATAATTGCTATGTTTATAAGTAAACAAGTTTATTTGTTGATTTTAAAAATAATTTATGAGTTAATCTTATTTAATTTCATATTTCACATTGAATTTGGATGCTTTCGATTGGCTCAAAGTAAAGTGGTGAGAAATACCAAGACAAATTAACCCAAATTACATAAATTAGTTAATTAAGTAATAAAAACTTAACCTAAATTAAATTAATAAAAATGTATATTATTGGTCTAGAGTGGACCAGTGTGGGCCATGGCCCCCACCCTAGATCCGCCATTACCACAATATTTGATGGTGCAACGGAAATGTTACTCTAAAATTTATGTTTGACATATTAGACACTAATTTCTTTAACCCAGCTATGTGTAAACAAAATATCCTTTTGGAATGGATATATATGCATCATTTAATTGTAATAATTCCGAGACTATCGTCCTCGCATGCACACACACACACACGTTTAAAAATTTACGGGTACAACGGAAATGCTACTCTAAAATTTCTATTTGAATTATATTAGGCACTAATTTCGTTATAACCTTGCTAGCTATATATTTGCGAAACAAAGTATTCTTTTAGCTAGATGGATATGCACCATTTCGCTGTAAGTCCGAGACTATCATGCAATAAGTTTTAGTCACATCTAATAAAAGAAAGAATAGTCTTTTCTATTACTCAATTCCTCATCTCAAGAGGTTACTCAATATACAGGCTGTATTATATATATATATATATATATATTGGAAAAATCTAAAACAAAACGAGGTAAAAGTACAAATTTATTTGCAAACATATACAACCTCCGTCCCACATAAATAGTTCACATTAAGTTTTTAAATTTGTACTAAAAACAATACAAAAGTCAAAACTCAATGTGGACTATTTTTGTGGGACAACGGAAATATAATGGTATCTGTGCTAGTTGTACCTCCTGAAAATTATGTAATGGCTTTTGCTAACATAATAATAGAAAGGGCCTTACATTTTTGGGGTAGCTCATTTTTCTCAATTTCACGAGTAATGAAGAAAACTTTTGGAGGGTATCTAAAATGCAATTAATTGTTGATCGTGAAAATTTCCACGAGCTCTTTGATTCACATAAATTTCTGTTGTCCTATAGCTTGGTAGATATGTTCTGAGAACTTTACATACAGTTAGATAAGGTCTTATGTGTTATTTTTGTTTAACTTGTCGTGATATACACTACTCCCTCCATCCCATAATTATTGTCAAGTTTGAACTTTTATTTTTAGTATAATTTGAACTAAAACTAAAAATTTAAACTGGACAATAATTTAAGAACGAAAAGAGTACGAATTAATTCTTAACATATGATTTTGTTACTGATACTCATATCAAACCGTAACTTAATTCTAAGCGATTTATAAACACATGTCAAGTACTAAACTAATGTAACGGGCATGTATCTCAAAGTGTCATGAAAAGCTTTTATTGCCAAAGACACATCTTATATATGCCCACTACTTATCACTCTTATTATTACTTTGTAATTAACACAAGAGTGCTTAATTAATTAAGCGTCCCTAACATGTATCCAATATTGTTTGCAATGAAAGATTTTATTTTATTTTTATAAAGAAACCTCAGTGTATATGAATGCAAACCTACAACTTGACCAAAGATTCACTATCATTGTGACTAGGGTTCATTAATTTCATTAATCAACATCATAAAATATAATCACTTATATAATTGTGTACACAGTTTTTTAACATTATCACAATGGTCTAATGTATATGGTCAAGCATCGTGTATCTTACGACCCATAGTAGGTGAGAGCTTTTCAAACACACCTTCCACACACACACATACACACACACACACCCTTAATTACATAGCAGTATTAAACCCCAATCTTCTTTCTTGAATTTCTCCAGCAAGAAAACCCTTTGTCATCCTTTTACAAGAACCCTCATCTTAAATAACCTGTCTTGTTGGTTTTCTTTGTCCCAAATCTAAAATGATCTAGTAACTCTTTCTTCTCATAAAAGATCAATAATATTTCTTCTTCACGCACGAAACAAGATAGTTTAGTTTCTTGAATACTTGTTCAAAATTTTTAAAATACCTTTGTTTGCACTTTTTTTTAGTAACTAAATTTGGAGTGTTAAACCCTTTTTCGCAAACCGTTTATGCCGTGTGATAGTTGAAATTAATTGCCGGAGAAAATCTTTTTTGTCGAGTTTTAACCACATTTGTAGGTTTTAGGGTGTTTGTTGGAATAGGTTAGATTCTTGAGGGTTTCATCATAGTAGTTGAAAAGGACCTAAGCTAAATAAGTTAGCTCAAATAAGGGGGAAATCTGGAAATGGAAGGAGAAGTAGTTCAAGATGAGAAACTTCCCCCGGGATTTCGATTTCACCCTACAGATGAAGAGCTGATCACATATTATCTCATAAACAAGATTTCCGATTCAAGTTTCAGTGGAAGAGCTATTGCTGATGTTGATCTGAATAAGTGCGAACCTTGGGATCTTCCAGGTAGTTTAGCTTATTCATCATAATGATAGATCTTGCCATATTATCGTATCTTTGGAAGGAAAAAAAGTAATTAGGTTGATTATGAATTTGAGTCCCTTTCAGGGTTTGATCTAGATCCGATGATATATGTCATCGAAATTAAAATCCCATCTAAAATTCAAAGGCTAACCTTTAGCTGTGAATTTCTCTGAGTTTGATCACATTTGTGGGATGTCCCCTCTCCTAAAATTATTGTCCAATTTATATCTTCATTTTTAGTTGAAATGTATGGAAAATAAATATTCAAACTGAAAAATTATTTCGGAATGAAAAAAGTATCATAATCCAACACATAGAAATAACTACATAATATAAGAACAACGCACCTTTTTTTTTTGGTTATGTTGCATATATACTTGAAAAAGTGATAATGATTCAGATATATTTTAGGTTTTTTTTTTGAGTACAAAACAAATTAAATCAGTCTAATCTTTTGTTCAAATCTCTTTTTTTCCCCCCTTTCTGAAAATAGGGAAGGCGAAAATGGGAGAAAAAGAATGGTACTTCTTCAGCCTAAGAGATCGAAAATACCCAACTGGGGTGCGCACGAATCGAGCTACAAACACAGGGTACTGGAAGACTACTGGAAAAGATAAGGAAATCTACAACAGTGTAACCACAGAATTGGTTGGAATGAAGAAAACTTTGGTGTTTTACAAAGGAAGAGCTCCTAGAGGGGAAAAAACAAACTGGGTCATGCATGAATATCGTATTCATGCAAAATCCTCCTATCGCACAACCAAGGTATGAATAATTAATAACAAAGCAATTTATGATTGCAAATTAGTGTGGGTTTTAATATATTGTCATAAGTCCGAGGAACTCTCTCTGAGTCTACATGTTGATACATTAATGTGTTGATCTTAACAAGGGAATGCAGGAAAATGAAGAAAAATACTCATTAGTCACAAAATAAGATTAATGTTTGTCTGTTGTGTGATAATTCAGGAAACAAGACTCTCTAGGTTCAGGACAGGATTGAGTTATTTTTTCTTATTTTCGGCAGTCAAAATGCGTCAATTACAAAAAAATCTTTGTCCTTTTTGGGTCCAACTTTGCTCTTTTAACAATCTTTCGTCATGTAGTATGTAAATTAATGTTTTTGAAAATTATTTTATTTCATGAAAACCCTCAAGGTCTAGAAATATGACCTGGATTTGCAACTACTAGGTCTAATTTATTTTTAATACTTGATTATAGATGTTGTTCACAATCCTCAGTATGAAATTCGTAGATATATAACGTAACCTTTACATGCAAGGTATGGTTGGCATATCGTAAATTTTTTGAAGTAACTCCAGCTAAGAGTCTCAACAAGTATATATATCCAAAACCAATAGGTTAAGTCCTTGGAGGATTAAGTCTGCGAGTTAAAGTTATCTTGTAGCTTTAAAATGATCTATTTTCCCGCTTCCAATATTTTCCTTTGGTATACACTAGTACCAAAGAAATATTTCACTTCAAGTTTTGTAACTTGTACGGTTTTTAGTACAAATTATAATTTAATATGAATTATTTTTTGAAACAAAGGGATTATATTAGTATATTACTTATTTGGTGTACCAAATCCTTATTTTGAGTAATTTGGATTCGCTCTGTATCTTTCAATAATAGTGGGATATGTTCTTTTACTAACATTCATGCGCAATAATTACTGCTGTTTTGTTTAAAAAATATTGTATAGTTTGGAATTTTACTTTATTAAATGTGTAGACAGAAAATTCAAAGCGATCAATTATTTTGCGAAGGAGAGAATAAAATGTCCCAAAGTAAATTGTTATCTTATAAACTGTTGCTTTACTGATCTCAATAAGAACTTCTAAAATTGTTTTTGTTTTCACGAATTTTGCAGCAAGACGAATGGGTAGTTTGCCGCGTGTTTCAAAAGAGTGCAGGCGGAAAGAAGTACCCATCAAACCATGCCAGTAGAGCTATGAACACTTACAATCTTGATATAGGCTCTACTTCTCTAACATCCCAAATGATGCAACAAGCTGCGGATCATCATCATGCCGCTTTCCAGCTCCCGATGGGGGCCGGAAGGTCCGCATACCTAAATCCGGCAGAGATGCAGGAGTTCTCTAGGGTTTTCCGAGGCGGAGCCGGAGCGGCCGCCTCGAATAATGCCGCCATGAACCTACAAATGGCATCCCAAATGAACTATATTGCTGCAGCCGGGGGTGCCGGCTCCGGAGGAGGAGGGGCAGGTGGAAATTGCTTTACTATATCAGGATTAAACCTAAACCTAGGCGGAGCAGCCCCCGTGTCACAGCCGGTTTTCCGGGCCGGGCCACCACCTCCACCGGCTATGAATCATCATCATCATCATGATACATCTTCCATGATGACTAATGGTGTAATGGGACATGATGGAGGCTATGGAGAGGCAGAGATGAACAATAGGTTTGTGGGCATGGAGCATTGTGCTGATTTGGATAATTACTGGACAACCACCTATGGTTAAGGAGGGAGATGAACAATGGCTTTTAAAGGTTTATTTTCATTTAGGTTGGCCAAGACGTTTTTCATTTGGTTTCAGTAGTAGTTTAATTTTGAATAAATTTGTTGCTGGAGATTTAAGGGGTTTTTTGTTTTTTTTGTTTTTTTTCTCTGAGGGCTATTGAAGTTGAAAAAAGCTCGGCTTCTTGGCAGATTTAGATTTAGACATTTTCAAATTATAAGTAGGGATTTGAATGGATCAAGTACGTGTTTTGTATCAAGTTTCATTTGGTATTAAAAGAGAATTATGGTTCATGAACCTAAACATAAGTTTTCTCGAATCCCATGCAGATGTTTTTTTGAGGAGAGAACGAGTATCGAAATTTTTTTTGTGTTGTATCTGTTAATCTTATGATTTGGAAGTTAAAATATAAAATTAAAATGAATTTTTGAAATTTAGAATTATACTACCAGTATATACAAGTTAGGAAGTATAAGAAGAAGAATTGTTAAAAAAAAAAAGAAAAATAAATAAGTTTTTCAAAAAAAAAAAAAATTAAAAATAACAAAATAACAAAAATACCACTGAATCCAAAAGCATGTGAAAAATGGATTTCCGTCACTATTTAACAGCCACAATTCACAGAATGATCTCGGATGAATTTTTTACTTTGTAAGATGACATATTATACAAATAAATTTGATTGATGACCTGTATTAGAATTACGTAATAGTTCAATGACCCGTTTTGAGATTCATTCTTTATTTAATTGTGCAACTAAATACTATCGTTTATCCTGAATTGACCATAAAAGATTTCAAGCTGAAAATTCAACTTATTGTGGTTGTTCAAATTTTAGGTTTGTACCCTTCTTGGTGAAAACATTTCTTGACAAACCACAAGACTTTTCTCTGTCAATAATAGCAAATGAGAAATGTCGTCCTAACATAGTTACAAAGGCTCTAGTACACTTTTAAGAGTTTTAGGGATCGAATCTAGGTAATTTAGTTTGAGGTGGGAGTTTATATATAAGTGTGTAAAAAGTTATTGCTTTCTTTGTTTTACCCAAAAGGAAGAGGAGAGTTGGGGGATGGAAGATTAAGTTGAAATCGAAGAAACCGTTCAGCTTAGGTCATGTTTTGTGAACTTGTTAAATTCTGTACTTCTATAATAATGAATGGTGGTTAAAGAACATCATTTCCATTTTGTCTGCTTACAGCCTCCAATTTGATGGTCTCAACGTTATCAGTGACAACCTGGAAATGTTTAATTTGTTCAGTTAATTGTAGTTTCTTGTAAGTCGTAAGCTCATATGTTCCAACTGCGGAATAAACTTATGGTGTCATTTTGATTGATAAATCAATAAATAACTTTATTTGGATGAAGAAAGTGTTAGGAAAAAGAGTTTTCACAGTTAGAAGTCTCTTTATCATATTGTCTCACATCGATATCCTGAGAAATTTTGTATTAATATATGCACTCCACGAATCACTCCCTTCATAACAAATTAGTTTTGCCGTAGAATTCCATATGGTATCAAAGCCCACAACCTGTAGACCTGTGAACCTGTGTGTACGAGTATGTGGACTGACCATGTAATATATTCGAAGGTGTGGGTCCATGCGAGCGAGTTATGGACTAACCCAACAGTATAACTGATGAATTATGTTGTGATGTGCAATTCCATTGGTCTAAGTAACCTATTGGGTTTGAGAGAGAGTATCAGGACAAAGAATCTCACGTCACCATCGTGAAGGATCTTATACATGAGTTAATAGAAGTTTAGGAGACCGAGTAGGACACTTGACATGTATTTTATATTTAACATTCACTATGACTACAACTCACTATATCTAATACTCTATTGTTATGTGTATTATTACTTAACCTTCATTGTTACACGTGACACACGACAAGAACTAACTAGGGGTGAAAAAAAATCACAATAATAACCTTAGGATTGGATAAGTGAAGAACTTGAAAATTTATGGTCCTTTGCTTAATGGTGATAGATGTTTAAATTGTGAGAAAAAAGGGGGTGAATTTTTAAATGTGGACAACAAGGTCATTTTCGCATTTCAGAAATTAGAAACTACAGGATAACCATAGTTACTATCTCATAATTAAGCTACACAAAATTCATTTCAAATAAGATTGGAAATTTTCTATATCCAAGAAAATTTGAGAAAAAAATACATTTCAGAGATGTATAAATGCGAAATAAGGCTATCCATTTTCGAAATCCATATATCCTCTCCGGTGTCTGCACATGGAATTTTATCTTCTTTATTTTGAATTTATAAATTCTGAAACTTACATATCTAGAATAACTTTAGAGTTAGCATATCTTGACAAGTCCCACACAAGAAAATCTAGCACCATTAATTTCCCTTGTCACAGACGCTTTATGGACGTGTTTTGAGTTTGGCACCACCATTCTTGGAAGTTGTTTTGCCACTTTTAAGTTGTTTTTCGTTTATAATCATTGCATTGCAAATTTCTTTGTTTAATTTGTAAGTCTTGACATAGGAATTTTTGTTTGAAAATGGATTCTTACGCGCCATTTATGTTGACTTTATTTGAAATTAGCAATTCAATGATGGTGCTGGTAGCAGTGACACCCCGTTCAGGACAATGTGGGTAGATAAAATCATGTCATTCGTATATTTGGTTACAAAACATTTGCAATTGCGAAGTTAGAAATCAGTTGTATTTGAAGATTTCAATAGTGTGTGATGAGCAGAACAATATATGCGGGTCATTATTGTTCTAGATGACAACTCGTTAGGAATGATTTATTATTATTTAAGGTATTATCCAAAATTGTACAACGAAATAGTAGAGATTCATGTATTACATCATGACAGTACATTTGAACACCATATTGAAGCAGACAACAGAGTGCAGTGGTTGGGAACCTAACGAAGACGAAAACAAAGACTTGGAAGAACGTTATGAGCACTTTGAGATTGATGAAGAACATATGCCTTCCTCAGAAAAATCTATAGCGAGTGATCATATTAAAGGGCTGCGGCCCTGTTTGTATAAACAATTTACTTTTAGTGACATTAGTGACCCAATTAGGGGATCGTAAACCTTACACTCCCATCTTGGGGGATGGAAAGTAAGATGAAACTGGTCTTGGGGCATATTGTAGCAAGGAAGAAGTGGTGTGAGCCGGAACCAAGTGGTTATTGAAAAGAAGAGTGTAGTTTTGTAAGAAAGAGAATAGAAAAATACATGGGATGTTCAATGCACAACCTTATACCCCAAATATCCGGCTAATTAGAGGCACAGTACTACATGTCAATGGCGGATTGGTGTAATGCCTCTAGTTGAATGACATGTTTCAATAACTATTTAGGTGTTCATCCACACCATCCCAAAATGGTTAACCTAAGTTACTAGTGGTTCACTAATTGAATGCTTATACGATGATCACTATACTCCCTCAACATTGATGCGGGATACTTCAACCTGCTTGTTTTACACGGGCATCGCAATTGGAGTAGCACAAAAGTTTGGTAAGCTGTTGTTGAAATAAAATGGGTGAAAGGGAACAATTGTGGGGGTACATTGCAATAGCCGAAAATTGAGTTTGACATTGATGGCCAAAATGCTCCAGCCATAAGTGACAAGTATCCAAGAGAAATTTGAGTCAGTATGGGTACAAGGTCAACTAAGAGAAGGCATGGAATGTCAAGAGAAAAGAATTTGACTTTGTGTACGGTGAATGGGGAAAAAAACTTTAGCGTACTCCCAAAGTATGTGGTAGCACTATGGATCTCAAATCTTGACATGAGTGTATAGTGGAAGTTTAAAGATGTGAGAAAGGATGGTTTTAGGACTTTTCATAGGTCATTTGTGGTTTTATGTATTGCTGGGACAGATCTCCATGACTCATACAAGGGTAAGTTGCTAGCAGTGGTGCATGCCCCAAATACTCGCATTGTTTTCATTGCATATGCAGTTGTGGACAAGGAGACCGTGCACAGTTAGAAGTGGTTCCTTAAATACCTGAAAAAGAGTTCTTGGGGAGAAGAACGCCTCTAATATTTCAAATTAGGATAGTGAGATTTCTAGGAATAAAGCATATAATTACAAACTATCCAACGTCTGTCATAGGTGTAGTGTAGTGCACGTTTGAAGCAATCTGATTGCTAAGTACCATTTCAAGGGTGTGCAAAATTTCTGTTGGGCAATGGGAACCACAATGTAACCAAAGAAAAAACAATAGAGCGAGGCAAGAGTTGATGCAAGGCAATAAAGGAGCCATTCGTTTCCTTAACAAGCTCAATTTATACAAGTGGACCCTTGCACACGATAAGGGCGGATCCTTTTGGGGCGTGACTTCGACCAAAATTGCAGAGAGCTAGAATACATACTTAGAGATCCTCGTCTTTGCCAATCAAGACAATGGTTGAATCCACACTTGATAAAACAACATACATCTTTAGGGATAAGATAAGTAAAATCAATCGACGTTGTATTGTCATTACACCATAACAGACGAAAGAGTATGGAACGGAACACATACACTCTATGTTACATGCTGCATTTCCTTGCAATCAATTTGATCCTGTCTTCAAAGTGACGACATATGCCCGAAAGGAAAAAGTAGAAACAATCATACAGACTTCTTGAAGGATATGACATAAACAATTGGTAAGTGACAAAACAAAAGTTTTCATGTTCCCACAAAATGGTTGCTTTTGAGCCAAAAAGGGATATCCCCAAGAACCTTCTCGATTAGTATTATGTAATTACTGGGTGAAATTTACAATTCGATGGATGTTTTAATTCCGTGGATGATAAAAGATATTGTTCTATATTGAACTGGCGTCTCCATCTAAATCGGGAGAAACGCATCCAATTTAGAAATTGGCAGAAATATGAAACAATTCCCCCCAACAACTTGGATTACAAGCGGGGTAAAAGTCATCGCGTGTGTAGTTCATGTCAGGGCAACCATTGGGGTGTTCACAGACTAGTTCAAACTAGTTAATTCAGATCACAGTTCAAATTACGGGGTTTCAAAAATAAAAAACGGTCCAATTTACAGTTTGGAATTCAAAATCATCACCCAAATTGGACTAGATGGTTTACATTATCTTTATGTATATAGATTATAAATTATATATATTGAAATAGAAGAAAATTGTAGAGTCCAATTCTTCAGTTTTGATTGAACATTCAATTAAAATATATTTAAGCAAAACATTAGACATCATTTATGATTATAGGGCTAAAAGTATATTAATAAATCCACTCTAATCTTGAAGTAATTGTAGATATCTCATTGATTGATTACCAAAGATTTTACCCTTTGGGTGATGTCAGCAAAAAAAATTAGTTTGAGTAGACAAAATTTTGCTACACCGTGCAATCCTTTAATT